CCTTATTAAAAAAATCCACATTGTTAAGTACAATTTCTAATTCGTTAAATAAGGATATTGCTCAAAAGGCACAAAGCTTGTTAAAAGAAATTAATATTTTTTAATAACGGTTTTTTTTAAATTTTTCATTTGGGTATATTGTTGGTGGTTGTGTTGTTGTTGGGATTTGAATCTTGTAATGGTTTCATAAATTGCTTTTCCTGTAAAGGATATCAGTTAAATAAATATAACACCCACTTGTTTTTTAAAAGGGGACTTGTTTTTATTTTTATTTGGTTTTTTATTAGATCATCTAATTTTTAAAGTTCATTAATCATTTTTGTGATAACACATCAATTGGTTTTGCATTTGTTGTTTGTTTTTAACAAGGAATTTTGAAATGAAATTTTAATTTTCTTACTCATAAATTTAAGAAGATTCTACAGTCAGTTTCACTTTTAAGGAACAAAAAAATATCAAATCAAGGCACAAAAAATCCCAAATTAAGGTACATTTTTTGGAATTTTTTTTTTTACACAATTTATTTTACTGGAATCTGATTTTTGTGCTTTAATTTGGGATTTTTTTTTTGTGACTTAATTTTCCTTGGAAATTTGTGCTTTAAAAGTGGAACTGGGGGTATTTATATATTTTTTAAATCCAAAATATTTTATTTGAGAAATTTTAAATAAATAATAAATTTGGATCTAAACAGATAAGTAAGTGATTGTATATCAAAAGGGGTTTACTATAGCACTGTGGCTGTTATGGAAAGGAGTTGGGAAATGGTTTATTTATTAGGCAAAGTTTGAAATTTTTCTGATCTTCTTATTTTCAATTCTAATTGGGTGAAATAAAAAGTATTTTCCTAATAAATATTTCATTTAAAAATGATATTAAAAGTTATTTTTGAACTTTTTAACTAATTTTTTTGTAATTTCTTTAATCACCCAAATCCAAAAATTTAGCTAGTTTCAACTATTGATTTATTGTAACAGATAATTAGGATAAGTGTCCAAATTATTCATTCAAATAGAGTTCAAAAAAAAAAAATAATAATAATAATACCTTCTCTTTTTTGGGACCTTTTGCAAACGGAGTTAGTTCCATTTATTTCTTTAAAAAGAATATTTAAATCCAAGTATATGTTTTTTTTTTCTGTTGTCAAAAAATGCTTGCAGAAAAGTTTAATACGTGTTTCAAAAAAAAACGGTTTTTTTGTAATAGAAGATCTATATTTTAACAGATCAAAGAAACTAGCAATAAACTCTGAATAAATAGAGTACTGGTTTCTAAAAGTATTATTATTTTTAAAAAAATTCTAAAAATAAAGAATCAAATTGGAAATAAATCTCAAAATTGAGATAATTTTTAGAAAAAAGTTTTATAATCCAAAAAAAAACAATAAAAAATTGAAAAAATTACGAAAAAAATTGAACAAAGTTTATTCATAATTTAAATTTTACAAAAAATATCAAGGGATTTACTTTCAAAATTGATTTGAGTTTAGATATACCACTGAGTCGTAAAGTGGATTTTGTAATTAGAACAAGAAGAAAAAAAAAAGCATGGATTACATTTTGAAAGATGGGTTATAGCTGTTGAGATTGTATTATTTTGATTACTATTGTTTCGAAACAAAAAAAACTCAATTTTTAAAAAATAAAAATTAATTATTTTCTTTTTTTAAAGTTTTAGCGAGTAAAAAACATTGAAAGAAAAATTTGAAAATAAAAAAAATGAAATTCCAAATTTCAGTAAAATAATCATAAATAAAACATTTTTTATTAAATTAAGTTATGAATATTTTGAGGAATTGTTCAAATTAGGAATTGTTAAGAATATATAATAGATGTAGTATTTTATATTTTATCGTTTTTAGGGTCTTTCTAAATAAGTGTGTAATAAAAGAGGAAATGGGGGCAATTGAAAATTTCGATGATCTAATTTGTATTGGGGAATTTAAACCAAATTTTCTCTCCAATGATGAAAATCTAAAATTTAATTTCAATATTTTCATCCATTAAGTTGTCAGAAATCGATCTTTTGGAGAGCATTTACTTCAAAGTGTTAGTTAAAAAATCAAAAATTAGTTTTTTAGTCTTGTTTTTTTTTTTTTTTTTTTTATTCCTTATTCTTTGTTGTGTAGAGTTAGATTATGAGTTCATAAATAAATAGTAACTCTGATTGCTTCATTTGTTCAACAATCACCTTTTATGATTCTTCTTTTTTGGTTCTCTTTCCAGACTCAAATAATGATAGTGTTCTAGTACCAAGAGAATATTAATCATCGTTCTTTGGACCCCTCAATATCATCTTATATCACTTCAAGGAAATATCATAGGCATTTTTATTTTTTAGAACAACTTTTAGCAGAACAAAGTTTTTATTTTCAAATAGAACTAATAAAGACATCTTGTTTCTTCAAATGGTTTTGAAACTTTTCTAATAACAATATAATTGTTAATTGTTAATTTTTCATCAAAAAGTAATTAAAAAACAATTAGATTGCAGCCAGTTTCACTTTTAAGACACAAACTTTCAACAAAATTTAAGGCACAGAAAAAATCTCAAATTAAGGCACAAAATTCAAATTCTAGTAAAATAAATTGTAAAAAAAAAATTCCAAAAAATGTGCTTTAATTTGAGATTTTTTGTGTGCCTTAAATTTTGTTGAAAGTTTGTGCCTTAAAAGTGGAACTGACTATATTAGTTTTTTAAAAAACGTGTATTTATTTAGATTTTTTATCGAGTGAATATTTTTTTTTTTTCGTTTTAGTAGCCCTCGCCATTTTGGTTTACAAACTCTGGAGCTAGAAAGGGGGTTATTTTAATAAATGTGTGTGGGGAAATGTTTTTTTTTTTTTTTTTTTTTGGTTTTTAGATGGAATGTCTTCAACTTCATATTAACTTTAATAATTGTTCAATAATAGAAATAAAATAAATTTATTTTATTTTCCATAATCCGGATATAAGAGATTAAGACTATTATATCAGAAAAAAAGTTTTTATAAAAAAATTGGGATTTTTTGGTATGTTAATTGAAATTTTTATTTTTGTTTGATTTTATTTGGATCCTCAAAAACAATTTTTTTTTCTGAGAAAAATCGAGTAAACGGAAAATGAAAATTACAATTGATTGTTAAAATACCTTTTTGTCTATTAGATTTACACTGTTCAATTCTGATTTTTCAAAAATTGGAAAATTCACAATTTGTTGGCATGTGTAAAAAAATGAATTTTTTTTTTTTTTAAAGTATAATTATTAATAAAGTTTTACTTGGGCCATTTATCCCTTTTATCATATGTATTTGGGAAATCTACATTACTGTTATTTTCCAATTAATAAATGAAAATTTTTATTTCAATTTCCAAAATGAATATTAATTATTACAGCTACAATCAAATTAGCCGAGTAAAAATTTTGTCTTAGAGTGAACTAAGGAAGTTTAATTTATGGTCTAAAAATATCCTTTCTAAACGGTGTTGTCAAGATCTTTGGATTTACTTCAACTTATGAACTAGAAAAATATTTTAGAATGTGAACTAAAAATTTTCATTTTTTATTTGGAAAATAATAGTATTTAGTTTAATGGAATCCTCAGAAGTAATGCGGATTTGAAGATATTCGAATTACACAATTCTTTTGTTACCCCTTTGAACCATTATTAAAATTAATACCAAGCTGATCAATGATCAGTTAAGAACCAAAATAACCTGTCTATCCACACACAATACAAGGTAATCTTGTTTCCAGTTTCAGGGAATGTAAACCTTAATTTTGGCTTGTCAGAAAAAGAAATCTTTCTCTCTCGTAAATTTATTTGGGTTTTGTTTGGAAAATTGGTGAAATGTTGTTATAAAGAGATATTTCTGTGGTGTTTCATTTCATGCCTTTTTGGGAAAAAGCAAAAACAAATTTGCAGGAATTTTATTCGCTCGTTGAAGTGTTTTTACGTCAAGATCTTCTGTAAACTTTTGGAAAATAAAATTTATTATGGAATTCAAAACACACCACTTCTGGATAATCAAAACAATAACCAATTTAGAGTACCAAATGGTTCAATTTTAAAACAGATCTTGTATGATTTTTTCGGAAAGCTAACTCATTATTGAGAGAATGAGACTATTGAATTTACTTGATTGGTGGCGAATTTTGAGGTTACACTGTTCAATCAAAAGAGAGGAATAAAAATGATTAGAAGACAAAAAATAAGACATAAAATATTTGTTTTTTGAATTAGATTTTTTCATTCTTGTTAGACAAAAGAATCCTCGTTTCAGCTAATTGGACAACCAAGTATCTAAATAGATATCAACTGGATATATTGTTTTAGTTTTGATTTCTGTTGTTATGTAGATAAAAACCTGGAGAGAAAAATCCACCAAAAAATAAACACGTTTTTATTTGTAAACAACCAGAAGGAAAATTAAAACCATACAGTTAAAATTCAAACAATTTTGAGTGGAACCATTTGAGGTAACTTTTTAGTTACGTTTGATTTTTTTGAAAACCTTTTTTATTTTTTTCAGATTTTATTTTTTTGTTTTTATTCTTTTGTTAAAAGTATCTTTGTTGTAGACATTCTTTTTAATTTCATACTCGGCATGCAATAGTGTTTTTTGAACAGTTCTTGTCTTACCAATTTAAATCGTAAATTCATTTTTCCTTTTCAAGTCTTTGAAATTATGTTTTTTGTTTTTCCTTTTTTTGTAAAACAAAATTTTTTTTTATTTTTCCTTTTTTTTAATAATTTTTTTTAATAATTTTTTTTTTTGGTTAGCTACACACCCACAAAAAAGAGAAATTGGGGAACAAAATCTAACTTTCAAAAAATTCGAAAGTAACTTTTCATTTTTTACTTTTTTTTTTATTTTTTTTTTTTTTCCAGATTTTATTTGTCTGGATAAAAAAAAGAAAAAGATCAAAAGTTTTCACACCAAAAACAACCTATTCAAAAAAAAAAATGCAATGAAGAAAAGAGAAACAATGAAAAGGAGTAAACAGATTGAAAAAAATGCGATCCTGGTAGGACTTGAACCTACGACCTCTTGGTAAGAAAATTACAAAGCATTCTATCCATCTGAACTACAGGACCAAATTCGTTTAGAATATTCAAAAAAATTATCGAATATTTCAAAAAATAATCGAATATTTGAATTTTCGAATATTTTTTTATCAAAAAACAAAAAAAAATTAATTTTTTTTATTTTTTTGAATAACCCAAAATAAACACCAATTTAATCACTTATATACATTTTCAAAACATTTTTAATTCTTTTTTTGATTTTCTTTTTAAGGCAACACCCACAATTTGGGAAAAAAGATCCCATATTTTTTTTTTTAAGAATTTATTGCTGGATTTAAATCAAATCCTCTTCAAGTCTGCATTTTGTAACCCACATTCTAATGAATCAAATAAGGAACAAGAAACAATTATTTTTTAATCTGCAGTTCTTGTAGATAAGGTACATACTTTTTTTTGTATTAAGTAATGTGTTTAGTCAGATATAAAAATTTTTTATATAAATAATTTATATAATTTAATACTAAATTTTAATTCGATCGAAAAATCAACATAAAATTAGTTGATTCTATTTTGTCATTTGATTAATCAATAATTATTAGTCAAATTTCCACAAATTTACGAATGTATTTTTTTGTTCAGCTTGTTTAATCATTTTGAATACACCTATTTTGATTTTTTTGATTTCGTTTTATTTTATTTTATTTGTTTAAAAATTATTAAATATAAAAAAATTAAGACTATGTAACTTCAATTTGGTTTAATATTATGTTTAGAAAAATACACTATAAGCTAAATTTCAAAAATAGGGTAATATTTTTCATCAGAAAAAAATTTGTTTAAGGGATCAGTCTTCTACGACAACATGGCAAAATTTTAAAATATGTTATTGGTGGTATTCTCTACTTACAAATTTTGGATATGCCAAGTGTCAAAAAATTCTGTTCAACTAAAAAAGCCATAAATGAATGATAGTTTAGTGAGATCAATTTTTTTTTTCCATTTTTTCTGAAAAAGAAAACTATTAAATTCATTTTATTTCTCACATTATAACAAGCTATTACCCCGTTTATTGCCATTTTTATCATTATTATACAACAACAAGTCTTTGTTACCAGTAATATTAATATAAAGATTTTTTTTCTTTTTTGAGATAAAACTTTTAGTTCACAAAAACAATGATATATTGAACCTATTAAAAAATCATTGTATTTTTTTAAGAAAAATATTTATAATAATTAAAGTTTTAAAGTCATTTAAAAATTTTACTAAGAAATTTTGTTTTTGTTCAAAGATAAAATTAGATATTTCAAAATAAAATTTACTAGAAGATATTTGGGAAATCGTTAATTGTATCCTAAAAATTCAAAATCATTTTTTTGTTGCTAAAAATGATTTGAATTGTAATAAGGATTCTTTTGAATAAGACCAAACTGTCTGTTAAAAAAATTTTTGAAAATTGAAAATTTTTTTTGCATTTGTTTATCATTTTTTGAAAACCAGAAAACAACTTTTTTGAAACATTAAAGAAAAATTTTTTTTTGCATAATAGATCTCAATTTAATTGATATATTGTAGTTAGACTTCAATCAAACATTCATTTATTGAATCATCTATATCACAATTAGTTTTATTGGCTAAGATTTGAATTGAAATATTAATAAAAGAAGAAGTAACCATGTAAAAAAATTGCTTTCGTAATCAAGACTTTCCAACATAAAAGGAAAAATATGTTTTCCCATTTTCAAGAATTAACTTAATTCTTAAACATAATAATACGTTAATTTTTTTTCGTTTTATATTGGAAACATGCAAATTTTGGATTTCAAAAAAGAGACCCAAACCAATAAATTGTTTAAATGGAGTTAACTCATCCATTTCGAAAGTCGAAACACACAATACAAAAAAAAAATTTTGGAAGATCTTTATACAATTTCATTTTATTTTCAAAAATGACCACTCCCTTAATTGGTTTTTTTTTTTTTTTGAATAATAATATACTATATCAAGTATTTATTGTCAATAACCTATATAGTTTAACAAATAATAATATAGTATAATCATTTTATTTTTTGGAAGACAAATGAAAAAAGAAAAAAATATTTATTTATTGTGAGAAAGGAGTAATCAAAGAAAAATTACTAAATAAAAAAGGGAAGAAGAAAAATAATTAAAACATTAAAGTAACAAAATGTTATATCATTTACATGACCAAATTAAAAATTATCTACGTCCTGAAACAGGAGGAGTAAAAACCCGATAGAAAGATTAAAAAAGAAAAAAATAATAATAAAAAAGTTTGCTACTAATTTTGAAATTTTGCTTATCTGGATTTTTTTTTACTATTTTTGGTTTTGCGTTCAAATTTTTGGAGTAGAATTTATACAGTTTCGAAATTTTTTTTTTTTTTTAAATCAAGCCCATTTTTTTTTTTAGTAAAACCTACAAAACCTCTCAATTTCTTTTTGAAAATTAAAATTTTGAACAATATTTTTTTTTAATAATAAATAAACTCCATTTCAAAATCATTGACCCATTTAAAATCAAATTTTGAAAATAAATATTTTTATTAATTAAATTTATTTATGAATAAAAATTACTATTTTAATAATCAGTTCTATACACTAGTAATATTTGTTTTTCGTCTAAAAATAAAATCAAAAAAAGTAAAAAAAAAAAAAACAAAATTGGACTATTTATTATGAAATTTTGTTTAAATTGATTTTAAAGAAATTTAATTACCTAAACCCCCTTAAATTAATTTCGAGTTTCAAACAATTTTTTTTTTCAAATTAACTTTTTTAAAAAAAAAAAAATACAGAAAAGAAAAATGAAAAAAAAAGCATAAATTAAAAAAAAAAAAAATTAAAAAAACAAAGAAAAGAAAATTTACCAAATTAGTAACAGAAATGATTTTGATCTAAAAATTGAAATTTTATTGTGAGAAGATTGGATAAAAACTAAAAACAAAAAAAAATAAAAAAAAAAAAAAAAACAAATAGTTTGAAAAAAAAAAAACTCAAAGAAATTAAATTATATTCGAAAATTTTGAATACAGTTTTTAGAGTTGAAAGAATAACTATACCATACTTTTAATTTAATTCAGAAAGAATTTGGAATGTCCAAACTATTTCATTTTTTGTCTTTATTTTTATGTTTACATTGACTTTTTTGCTTTTAAAAAATCTATTTCGTTAGATCTGGAATTTTTTTTTAAAAGTTTGATAGAAGGTTAATGTTGAGTTTGTTAAATAGGAAAATCTACACACAATCAGGTAGAGGGTATCTTGTCATTTGATCGATCAACAATTGTTGGTGAAATTTCAACAAATTAACCCATTTATTTTTTTTTTTCCGCTTGTTTCATTATTTTGGAAACACCAATTTTTATTTTTCCGTCTTATATTATATTCTTTTATTCAGAGTGGAAATGATTACTTATTAAAACATTAGTACTAAGTTACTTTAATGTTATTTTTATATTAGGTTTGGAAAAATATAATAAATTGGGTTTTTTTTTTTGCAAATTTTTGATTTTGAGTGTGTCCAAATTTTTGGAATAGGGTTTAGATAAACTGATTCTGATCTACAAATTAAAAATTTATTCTGAGAAGAATGTATAAAAATAACAGAAAAGAAAAATGAAAAAAAAAGCAAAAATTAAAAAAAAAAAAAATTAAAAAAACAAAGAAAAGAAAATTTACCAAATTAGTAACAGAAATGATTTTAATATAAAAATCGAAATTATATTTTGAGAAGAATACTGAATTAGACTCAGAGAATTAGTTCATATTCTTCAATAAAACTTCACCCCCTTGGCCGAAAAATGATTTGGCAATTTTGGGTTTTTAAACTTCTCCCATCTGCCTGTATACCCATTCATGTCATTTGTGAAGGATAGCAAGTTTGAAAAGAATAGTTGATATTACCCAGTTTAGTACCGCTGTTTTCACTGGATATGTCTGGGAATTGGGCAATTTTAAAGTATTTATATAGTTACAAGTTTTTATCTACTTGAAATGATTCAACTTTACGATTTATTGATTTGAAGTAAACTTAATGTAGTTCTTCTTCTTCTTTTTTTTTTTTTTTTAAATTTATTCTCCATAATTTTCCCAACCAATATTCTGTCTTACCTATTTTCAGGTCCCCCCCCCCAGATTACCGAGATTTAACTTTAATAATTTCTTAATGAAATTAACTTTCCTCTTATGATCTTTTTTATTTATTTTGTTTCTATTCTTGATTCCTATTCAAGTATTCCCATGGAAGTTCTTTTTACACTTTGTAAACAATTCTCATTTTTCTGTTAAACATAATATCTACAACCTTGTTACATCCCAGGCCACCAGATAAATATCTATATATATTGGTTAATTGAACAAAATAAAAAAAAAATATTTAAATTGACAACTCAAAAATCAAAAAAAGATTCTTAAAAACCTCAAAATCTATTATTCTTTCACTGTTCAATTTGGATTTTAGAAAATTAAAAAAAAAAAATTGAAAAAAATTTCCATTTTTGAACCCCTCTTAAAATTAATAACAAACCCAAGATAAATCATCCAAGTAACCCAAAAAAACAAGTCACCAAAATAAAATACAGTGGTATAACTAACCCGTGTTTTTTATTTTAACCCATTACAAAAATGTAACTCATGAAAAAAATATTGGCTGACTCTAGAAATAAAAGAAACAAATCAATGGGATGACAACAGTATATAAATAAGAAATTGGGTTCTTATAATGAATTTTAAAAAAGAATTATGAAGATACTGGAAGATTAAAATGTAATTTTTTGACAAAAAGTAGAGTAAAATTTCATTTTTTGAATTTTTATTAAAAAATCGTCTAATCTCAGAAATTTTGTAATTATGATGAAATTTTTGAAACAAAATCATTTAATAATATTTAACTCTTTTGATTAATCAAAGATCTAACCTCTAAAGTCAATTTGTATCTGAACCAAGAACCTATAGGTGGTTTCTGGTCTTCTAATACCCAAGTCTGAAAAAAAGCACCAGTTAAATTTTAGTAATAGGTTAAAGGTTGTCAACAGGGGTTATTTACAC